TTTTTGTTGGAATGATGGTTGGGCTGATGGGATTTAAGATAAGTTTGAGGTTGCAAGTGCTAGTTACATATTAATCCACCAACATTTAAAAAGGCTGCAAGAAAACAGGGACAATTACATATAAATCACTTGAAACATTGATCTTTATAAATTAAGCATCTAGATGATTTTTTGGAACTACAAAATTGATGTATTTATGCATGTTGCGATCAAACTATTGAGAATTTGATAAAAAAAATGAACAATATGGGTTTTGATATTTGAGTGAGGAGTTTGAAAAATGGATGAAAGAGAGTGGTTGATTTGTAAATAACATGTTTCGAGTTGTCTATATGGGATTTTGCTTATTGATCTAATTTTTTGCTTATTTTGAAATTTGAACGATTTTATATAAAAAAGTATATATATTTTTAGGACAATTCTAAGCATAAAGGGTTTGAAAATAATATTAATTGAATTTCATGGTTGCCAACTATGTTGATTAAGCAATATGTGTGCTCTTTTGTTATTAAAGGTATTTCTCTCGACATTTATCACATGCTTCGTATACTCTATTATAAAATACGATTTATATATATATATATATAGAGAGAGAGAGAGAGAGAGAGAGAGAGAGAGAGAGAGAGAGAGAGAGAGAGAGAGAGAGAGAGAGAGAGAGAGAGAGAGAGAGAGAGAGAGAGAGAGAGAGAGAGAGAGAGAGACACACACACACACACTAGAAGTTTTTAGTGACGGTAGAGTTACGGATTATCGTAGTAGCTTTGCACAATAATTCAATACACACTCAGATGAAAGAAAACAATATGTAGAGACACTATAAGTTTTTACATTGAAAACTCGTAAATGAAAAAACTACGTGGTCTTACCTAATTGAAGAGATCCACTATACACAAAGATTACAAATACAATCTCTTATCCCACAAATAAAACATGGTTACACAATCTTTTGATCTACAAAGTTGGTTTGCGGATGAACCCATTGTAAGAAGATGGTAGCAATTAGTAGTGATCGGTGACAGTCGACGAGTAATGGTCAGCGACAGGCACAGGCTGGTGGTGGGCACCCGTCGGCGACGAAGTGACGCTGGATTTCAACTACGTTTCTAAGCTGTCTTCTTCAGGTTTCAAGCTTCATTTCTTTCATAAGAGGAGTAAGACTCTATTTATAGAATATCAGTTGCAATTAATGAAGGAATATGAATAATTCTGGTTAGAAGATCCAAAAGATTCGCTTATTTGATAGACATTTGAGTGTTTTTACGATATCAGAATTGAGAAGTCTTTGGCTCTTTAGATTCATCTTGTCGAGACACTTGATTCAACTGTAAGCTCATCAGATTAGGCATTTGTTTCACCTTTCACATATACCCAAAAAGCCTCCAAAAGTAGTTTAATGGCTTGATCGGGTCTTAATTTGGTTTGAATTGTACCAATTTCGGTATCATTGGGTTCTTCTCATCGAGCCAGTCAGTTTGACTGTAAGTTTGCTGAAATCAGAGCTCCAATTGAATGATAATCGCAATTTGAACATTTTTTGCTCAAAAGATTGTCTTGACATTTGTGTCATGCCTCGAGATCATGCTTAATGTTGGAAATTTATTGATGACGAATTAGTTGTCCATCTATTTTTAGACATGACTAAATTTATCCTCCAAAAATATTAAGATCTGAAACGTTTTTTTTTTGTATCATATATATATTATTGTTGCGCTGCATTACATTTATCTAACTTCTGAATTTATGAGAAGTTCAGGAAAAAAATATTATGTTCGGAGTCCATGAAAATAAGCCACGTGTTAACCTGGTCCCACCGCATAAAAAAACACTCATTTCAAGTGTGACCCCACCCGGTGGTATCAGGGCGAGGTTTTAAGGCAAGTAAAAAAAATTTGGGCGGCACAAAAACAAAGAAGAATTTCACCGAGGAGTTCTGCGGCTTGGCTTTGAACGATCGAGGATTTCAGCGAAATCGGTAAGGGCTTCTGCGACAGATTAGACTAGGAGGATCGTTCGTTCGTTGGGCAATGCGAGGAAGAAGAGCATATCGTTCGTGAAGGTTCAAGAATCATGACTTTCAACAGGAGTTTCGCGGTTTGGCTTGGCGGCGTCCGTTTCAGCGAAGGAGTTCACGTGCAGTTCAAATAGGCGAACAGAGGGTCGCAAGGTGTTCAACTTATTCCACGACAACAGAACAAAGCTTGAATCACGATAGGAGAAGGACCGAGACGCAGGAGTTCACGAGGTGCAAAAAACAGAGGTGTTCGAGCGGCGAAGGATCATAATTGGAAGGGTGGACGCGGGAAAAGTAAATTCATGCATAAAAGGAAAGTCCGTGAAAAAAGAAATTTAGCGTGGAGATATTCCGAAGATATTCTAGGACTCACGAAAGACAAGGAGAAGGGGAATTTGTTGCTGCACTCAGAAAAAGAAAACTGGAGGTTGCCCGATTAAAAGGAAATCAATGTTTGCTCTTTTGTGATATTTCATGACGCGAAATCGCAGACGCAAGTTCCAAAATTGCAGGAGCTTTTTTGGAAGGTGGAGTTTTTTTGAGAAGGAAAACATAGTTTTTTTTGAAAGTAAAGGCGGAGCTTTTCTGGAAGAAAATGAGAGCTCTTCTTAGAAGTTAAGAAAAATGATTTCTGAGAAAGTTTAATTAAGGGAAATTACTTTTTCTTAGAAACTTAATTAAGAGAAATTCTTTTTTTTTAAAACTTAATTAAGGGAAATTCCTTTTTTATTGGAATCTTAATTAAGAGAAATTTAATTAAGGAATCTTAATTAAGAGATTATTTAAAAAGGGTCTAACCCACATTGGTGCATAAGAAATTCCATGATATATTTCTCCTGAGGGGCTGAATATTCGCCAATTGGAGATTTGTTGGATATATACATTTCTCCTAAAGTGGTTGGATATTCGCTAAGGTGGAGATTTGTTAGGTATGACTCATAATACTAGAATTTGGAGTCTCTTGGAATTGAAGGGTTGTATCTCTTGTAATTTAGTGGATTAGGGGGATCAACAAAGGCACAACGGAAGCGTGGTGGCCCAACCCATATTGTTGCATAAGAAACTCCATGATATATTTCTTCTAAGGGGCTGAATATTCGCCAAGATGGAGATTTGTTGAGTATATGCATTTCTCCTAAATGGGCTCAATATTTGCTAAGGTGGAGATTTGTTAGGTATGACTCATATACCATAAATGAGATAGATGTTAGAGCGGAGCGAAGCCTACGAGCGGAGTGGAGCGGAAGGATCTAACCAATCGGGGGAGTTTCATTAAGTGGGTTGGGGTTGCGAGGGAAACACCCCACGATTTGGTACATGGGTAATTTAAGTAATTACATATTGTACTATAGAGTTATATATATGTCCTATTTGTAACCCTATGTGAGTCTGAGATTCCGAATATTGTATTCAATACTCCTTTGTGAATATTAAAAGGAAGTCGTCGCTCTGCTCTCGATGATGTAAGCATCTTTAACGAACCTTATAAATCTCTATATGTTCTTCTGGATTTGTGTCGATTCTTGTTTTTCTTCGCCCTAATTTCTCAACACCCGGCTCTTCGGCCCCACCGCAAAAAAAAAAATTAAAAAATAATTTTGTCACCCAACCCAGCTCGAATCCAGCCCAACGAAACGTCAAACCAGACAAAAAACGCCTTTATGGCACATTTCAACATTTCTCTGACGTTATGGTTTCTCTCGAGTATTTCTCTTCTTCTGCGCAAAACCTAGGGTTTTTGGACAGTTTTGCCTTCTTTGCAAGTTCAGTTTCACTTCCTCGCAATGTTACGCCAAGGCCAATCACTTGCCAAAATTTTTTAAGTTTAGCATTGCGTTGTTCGAACTCTTGATATTCAAAGTTATGGTTTTCTTTTCCTCTTGCTAACACACAACAATGAAAGATCGCAAGGGAACTAAAGAAGCTAGCGGTCTTCCAAAATTTTCGAGGTATTATGCTACATTATTTATTATAGATCATATGATGATTTTTTTCATTTTATGTTAGAATGCAATGACACTTAAATATCACGAAATAACAACGAAAAATAACACCGAAATGTAATTTCATTATTATTTTGTTGCTATTGAGATGTTTTTTTTGTCTGTAAACAACAATAACATCGTTCACACCATAATAACATCTCATTAACATCATCAACAATTGCATAGTGGTGTTATTGCGACTTTAACTTAGCGTCATCAAAGTGTTATTGTTGTGTTATTGTGGTTTTATTAACGTGTTATTTGTGTTATTACAGTGTTACTTGTGTTATTACCTTAATGTGTTATTTGTGTTATTGCAGTATTACTTAAGTTATTTGTGGTGTTACCAAATATGACATTTTGTTAGTGGCGATTGATCCCCATAAAAGGAGAGCATATAAATTTATAATTATTTAATCTATAGTTTCTATAAAAAAATTATTACATCCCCAAAACAATCATAATCAAGCCTAAATAACTCGTCATTTCAAAAAAAAAAAAAAACTTGTGAGTCTACCACGCTCTTCGGGTTGGAAATCCCAGATAAACATGATATCTTCAGTTTACCTCTCTATGAACAACCATATTTGAGAATTGATATCTTTTTATTCATTATTTCTCTAATTTCTATTTGAATAAAGTTGAATGTCTCTCTTCGTGCCATTTAGGTTCTCCACATCTCAAACCTATATAGACATAAAATTATATGCATATATTATTGTGATCTGATCATATTATTGATCTCAACACATTTACATTCAACTCGTATATCTTGCTGCTGAAACGCATAAGAAGCTTATGACTACTTTCGGGCAGAGGTTGATTGTGACCCGGCTAAGAAAATGAGCTTTTGCAGGCCGGTGGGAGAAGAAAACGCCAAAATCTACTTTTGGGCGGGATCCACTTTCCATAAAAAGTTGCTTTCTGATTTTTTGGGCGCTTGATTCAGGCCGGATTCTGAGACCAAAAACATTTTCTAAATTTTATTGCTGGTGAGGCTGAAGAGCCGGGCAGTGTTGTGTGGCAAATGAACGTTTTTTTTAATTTTTAAGCGATGGGACCGGATTAAACAAGTGACTCATTTCCATTGGATGAGGCAGCTCTGTGTCGAGTTCAGAACTAATATTTTTTCCTCGATGGCTGCCAGTGTCCGCACGAACCCGAAGGATAAGGTTTTTCCTCCGCAAAATGGAACCAGCGGTCGAAGGAGCGGTAAATCAAAGGTTCGTCAAAGAAATCCGAGGGAATGGCTACGGTTGCTCCTTCGCCTGGAGTTTCTTCTACGGCCCCGGGTTTGAGGAGAAACTTTCGCTCCTCTATTACTTCGCAGACGTCTCCTTTACCCAAAAGAGCGACGACGCTTTTCTCCTCTGTGCTGGTGTTTTCCGGGCGGTGGGGTGGATCGGCGCCTATTGGTTTTGGGAGTGTCGTCGTTTGTGCTGCTTCTTCTTTTTCATCTTTTTCTCCTTCCAGCCTCCCCGCAGCGCTGCTTTTCGACTGTGACGGCGTACTCGTGGACACCGAGAAGGACGGCCATCGCATCTCCTTCAATGAGACCTTCGACGAGGTGAGCTCCGGGATTTCTTTTTTAGGTATGGATTGGTTGCTAACCCTAGTTTCGTAGAAACGCCACACCGTGGAGTAAAATAGAAAGCATACACCTGTTTATTGCTATGTTTTGTTGCCTATTCGGCATTTACTTTGAATTGATCCACTGATTTTTTTTTGCAATTTTAATCAAATTTATTGTGGGAAAGTTGTCATTATAGTCTTTATTGTAATCAGGTCTTGTTGGTTTAATGGTAAAAAAAATATGCAGAAATTAGAAATTAAATGAGGATGAGAGAATAAATGCAATAAATCTCAAATACAAAAAACAGAAACTTACGTGGTTTGGTGATGTTGAAATATCTAATTTAAATTACAAGATTTATTCACTTAGACTTATAATATGAAATGATTTATTTGTAGTTACGAGGAATAAATTATTTTCTTAATATAAGAAGATATTTTCTTTTCATATATTAGGAATTATTTGTTTTTCCTAATTTATATTATTTCATATTATCTCATAATAATTAATATGAATTAATTATTAGAGATATCAGATGATATAGTTTTATTTTCATATCATTTACTTTATTATTATTTTTTTTATTATAGGATTCTCGTAAGAGTTATTTATACCCCCGTTCATATCAATTAAAACGATTCTGAAGTATTCCGCATTATTCTGAATTTCAACATATACTCTAGCCACCGACCATTCTTTGTGAATTGTCGGACTCTCTTTCTGTCATCCTCTGTGCAGGAAGGGAGAGGGATAACGATTTTTTCTCCAGACCCATTGCAATGCTACTCTACGTCGGTTTCACCGAGACTTGTTGCGAACGCATCAACTTCACCCATAACGGCATCTCCGCCCGTGCAGCTGATTTCGACGGTGACTTCGATCCTAATCTTCTTCCCAAGCGATTCGAAAACTCTACTGCGCTCGCGAAATCCATTCCCATTTCGGAGTTTCATGGGCGGCCGCTTGCCGATCATTTGACCGTCAAGTACGGAAGACCTCCGAGCGTACGCCGCTCTATCCGGCTACAAGACTATCTCCTTCATTTCTTGCTGGTATGAAGATAAAACAGAGTGGAGAGATTGGGTGAGATGAATCTATGGCTCCGTGTGCTCTGATCAATCTCATCGATCACCTCCACCAAGTACTCTGATGGCTTCTTGTACATAGACAAAAGCATAACTAAAATGGAAAGCTTCACGCCATCTTCTCCTCTTTGCTGACAGCAACAATAGCTCCAATGGAAGCTTCAACTTGGACGGCAACATCACACTCGATTGTATCTTCAATTGCATCGGCTTTTGTTTATCCGACATCTGAATCCCTAATCCACCTATAGCGTCTGTTTCGTTACCACATGACGTCAACTCCAGCGATACTACCATTCCGATTATCCTTCATCACTGCGATCGACTCATGCCATCCCTAATAATTGCAGTCATCTCCACTGTCGCCGGCTCCTTTGCATTGCCTCTCATCTACGCTTCCGCCGCCACACTCGCCGACAACTACGTAATCCTGGATCGGAAGCCGCAACCGGTGCTCTCAACGACAACGATGATGAAATCAGTGGTGTTCTCCCTCCCGACAACGAGATCAAACACCACATCTGGTATATCCGAACGCAGGGTCTTGATGATAGCATGATCGCGTCAATCTCCTCCTGGATTTATAAATCTAGCGACAGCCTCATCGATAGTAAGGATTGCTCTGTTTGCCTTTGGCGAGTTCTATGATGGCGAACTGGTACGCCTGCTCCCCAAGTGTAGCTACGCCTTTCACTTACCCTGCATCGATAGGTGGCTCAGATCTCATGTTAATTGCCCTCTCTGTCGCGCTCTGATTGTTTCTCCGGCGACTTACACTGTACTCGCACCTTCTCCTGCTTCTCCTGCTTCTCCTGCAACTGCCGTCATCTCAGATCCAACAGACCTAGTAATTGGCTCCCCTGCTCAACTCGAAACCTTGCAAATCAAGGCCTTGCCATGGGAAAACGTTAGAGAGGATTTTTTGAGGTCAAAATTGTGACCCACCAAAGTAAAGTGTCATTTTCTTGGTCTTCAACTTCATAACTGCCGCTTAATTCATTAGAGGAAGAAGATAACTTGCAGCCAATCCGACGATCGGTTTCGATAGATAACTTCTCTCTTGATGTGATTATCAGCCACGGTAGGGCAGGAGAGTATTCAATAGCTTCTAATAGAGAGAAACCAAGGGGCTTTTTGAAAGGGAGCCTTAGTCGAAAACTGCATACAAAAATGGATGGATCTCTTTCCGTCGAAAGTTCGAGGTGGTTCTTTCCCAGCAGATCCGGTTCATCCGGACCATCTCTCCTTCGGCTATTCCTTTTTCCTTCGAAGTCGGATTTGACACAATCATCAAGATCATTTCAAGCAAATTTAGTGAACTCGCGAGCGCGACACGAGCGATGCCGCCACCCGCCTCATCATCATCTCGCCTGAGATATCACTGCCGTGGATCGGACAAGCCGTCCATTTCTCTTGTAGTATCTTTTCTTCCCTGCCCACGCGTCAAGGGGAGCTGCGTTTTCAACCGGACCTTCTCCAAGCAGCCATTAAAACCAGTGATTTCTCTACTTTCTTTTCTGCATCCGACAATTTCGGTAGCTTCTGTTGCACCTTGCTTTTTCCCTATGCAGGCACCGCCAGTCGTCAGAGTCAATTTCTGCAGCCTTTGCTGTGCCTCAATTTTTTCCCTGCGTAGATGTGTTGTTCATTACACCATTGCGATTTCAACTGTTTTTCTTGCGCAGACATTTGGGCAACAATAGACTTGCATTTTCAGCAAACAACAGACATTATTTTCTCTTTTTAGTAGAAATTTTGGCTCGCCAATGAGATTTGTTTTTTCTCTCCGGTGCAAATCACGGAAGATCTCCAATTGAAATCCCAGTTTTCACTCTCTGGTGGAAATCATTGTCCCCCGCGGAACCACACAGAGCATTGGCTTCCTTGTGGGCTCTCCCATGGTCGTTTTTCTCGACAGTTTTTTAGTCGCAGATCTTTCCTGCAGGATCTTCCAGCCGTCGGACCTCCCGATTTCCTTCCAAGACCGTCGAAGCACCTACCTACAGCGAGACCTATTCCTTGATGGCTTTCCTGCCACTGGAACTCCCTCCTGTAGTCCTTCTTGTCGTTGAAATCCTGCTAGTGAAATTCTTTCTTGCGGCTTTTTCTGCCGCGTGAACTTCCTGCGGACATATCTGTTTCCGACTGGACCTTCGGGCCTACTCTTGCAGCCGGTTCTCTCCCTTGCAGCCTTTCCCGCCGTCGGACCTCCCTATGCAACTTTTCTCGTCGTCGGATCTACCTCAACAAATTTTTTCCCTGCAGATTTTGGCCAGCTCTTCCCAAGGAAAGCACCGCTCTTTCCTGCAGCATTACTGCAGCCTTCTCTGAGCAGTACAACTTTTCTGAGCACTGTTGTTGGCCCTCTGAAGCTTTCCTGCAACCTCCCTGCAGACTCCTTGCAGCTTTCTGACAACCTCCCTGCAGTCTTCTTGCAGTTTTCATGCAATTATCAGTCAACCGGTGATTTACAAATTCATTAATGTCTCGAAATTGAGCTTAGCCATTGTCCAGGCCACTCTCAGGCTTCGACCACTCTCAGACTTCGGCTTCAGCGCTCTCAAAGCCTCGACATTCTCGGTTTTGGGACTTTCGGCTTCGACACTTGCGATTTGAGGATTGTTGAAGTTTTTTGACAAATTGATGCTACCTGTCCAGTCAGCATACCGCAACCGATGTTTTCAAATTCAAGTTGAATATGATTTTCAACCATGTTCAACTTGAGGAGGAGTGTTGAAATATCTAATTTAAATTACATGATTTATTATCTTTAATGTTAAGACTTATAATAGGAAATAATTTATTCCTAGTTATGAGGAATAAATTTTTTCCTTAATATAAGGAGATATTTTCTTTTTATATATTAGGAATTATTTGTTTTCCTAATTTATATTATTTCCTATTATCTCCTAATAGTTAATATGAATTAATTATCGGAGATATCAGATGATATAGCTTTTCTTTCATATCATTTCATTTTTTATTATTTTTCATATTATAGGATTCTTGTAAGGGTTATTTATACCCCCGTTCATATTAATGAAAACGATTCCGAGGTATTCCACATTATTCTGAATTTCAACAGGTGAAAGTCATCTATGTTCATGACTAAGCAAAAAACAAACATTTCACTAAACTTAAAAAATATAAACAGAGAAATTATTATTTTGTATATATAAAGACAAATATATCACTTTGTCTGCATTAACTGCGTAAAAATGACACAATTCTCTATTATAAAGATACGAGTTGATGATGGTTTTCTTTCTTTTCTCTTATTTTCTTGAGGAAATTATTTCTTTCTTCCCTTTTCCTTTTTTTTTTCTTTTATTTAAATGTTTGTGAGATGCTTTACAAGTCAGGATTACATGGAGTTTATATGCGGACCAATTTGCCTTCCAACATTTTCAATCATTGTTGAAGTATTTTTAACCATCTTTGTAGAATTTTATAGTAGCCTTCATTTAAAATATAATTATAGTTCTGAATTTAAGACTTTATAGCAGCCTCCAAATTTTACTTTTTATGATAGCCTTCGTATAAAACTTTGTGAGAGCCAATATTTTGGATTTTGCAGTAGCTACTATTAGGACTTCATGAAGATTGCTACTATTTTAAATAATTAGAAATTTGAGTCTACATTTATGAATTCATGTGGTATCAGTTGATCTTTTATATTAATAGGCTTTTTGGTTGCCAGCTTTATTATAATTTAAGTTGGATTTTGCCTAAATCTCTCCAAAAGTTTTAGAAGTATTAAAATTTACCTGAAGTTAATGCTTGATTTAGCAAGATTTATAAAGGTTGGCTCATATCTAGATTTATAAAATTAATGGGAAAAACTAGATTTAAGAAATTCAATTCGAAAGGTTTTACTAAATCTCTTCAAATTCACAAATCTTTGAACAA